TGTCATGAAATGACATGAGTGATCATGGCTCTCCACAATATCCTGCCTCTTGTTGCTCTAAGCAATATTTGACTTATTGTTCCTCCCTTGTCCCTGTTCTGGCATTTATTCACATACTCATGAAGTAGGTTACTTATTATTTCCCTATACCTCTCTTGCCTTGAAGATATCCTTGTGTGTTAAATTCTCCGGGGCTTCTTTCTCTATTACCTGTCTTGGAAATTTCAACTGTTGCTTTCTGCTTTTAAGTAAAAGTGCCATTCGAGTTTCCAGTAACTTTAGAGCTTCCACATTGCCGGCATGTTTTATCCATGGTATTCTTAGCATTCCTAGTTAAGATCATATCTCTTCATCTGTAAGAAATTATCCAGCAATTGTTATCATACAGGAGGATAGATATGACACATTAGTTCAGCAATCTTTACTTCACTACTAGCAACATATTTCAATATCTTAATACTTTGCTTAGTATCTGGAAGGTATCTTCTGTTGTGCTTTCAGATTTCAGTATCATACTTTCTATTTTTGTTATTACAAATACCCATATAGTTATATTTCTATTTTCATTGATTGATTAGTTTTCTGTGACTTATTTATTTAAAGCAAGAAAATATTTTTAGATTGTAAGAATACTTTTTTTGATATAATAATGGTTTAGTGATACATATCTTACTAATTAACCTATAGCTGGAGTGGAGGAGAGGTGGATTTATACTTTTCCCAAGGGTATATGTGAATATAACAAACCTGACTTGAACTGGGACTTGAAAATCAAAAATTCCAAGCATTTCTCGTTCACACACGTGTAGTTGATTGCATCAATGTGAATGAATCTAGTCTGACGAAGTCCAAAAGGATAAAACATGTTACACAAAAACTTTTCAACTTTGTCATATATATATATATATATATATATATATATATTATTTACTTCAGACTTATTTATTTCAGACTGTTATCTTCATTGCTATATTCACCACTTCTTCAGGTGATTGGAATTTCAAACCAAACCATTTATTCCATCCACCAAGGTAAATTGTTCTAGTTCCATGTGCCACGCTTCTTCTAGATGTCTCAGTTATTTATTTTGAACTCAACTCTCCAAGATTTTTTTTTTTGCCTTGCCACTGCTGTAGTCTGGTACTGAACTCACAAGTCTTTGGGTCTAGTCACTGGATCTAACCAGCACTTTTTATCCATTGGTCCAGATGGCCTTGAGGTCACATGTAACTAGAACAATCTACCCTGGTGGATGAAATTTGATTTGAAATTCTAATCACCTTAATTCTAATGAAATGGGCAAAAATGTTGTGAATATGGCAATGAAGATGAAGATAACAGTCTGAATAATATAAATAATGTAAATAATAATAATACCTCATTTCAAAGCTATATATATATATATATATACATATATATATATATATATATATATATATATATATATATATTCCATTGAACATTCTTTTTAGTTATCTGTCAATGTTTCTGAGATGAGGTATTATGTACATTATTTACATTATTCGGACTACTGTCCTCATCTTTGTTGCCAAATTTATTACGTTTTGGCTGTTGTACGCTCCGCCCTTCTTCAGGTGGTTGTCCTCAAGGACACATGGCTCAGTGGATAAAGGCGTTAGTTAGATCCAGTGACAGGACCCAAAGAGTGTGAGTTCAATACCCGGCTAAGGCAGTGGAGTACTTTCAGAGGGAAATTAACAGGAGTTAACTGATAACTGACATCCATTAAACATGGCATGTGAAACAAGAACAGTCTACCCCAGTGAGCAAAATAAAGGGTTCAGTTTGACATTCTAACCACCTGAAGAAGGCCAGAGTGTACAACGACCGAAACTTTCTTTTTAGTTGTTGTTTGATTTGCTTTCCATGCCTTATCAAACTTTGGCAGATTACTTACATCCAGAATATATGTTCTAATTGTAAGAATTTTGTTTTTGAGATAATAATTTAATGATATGAGGGTTAATAATTAACCCATAGCAAGAAGAATAAGAGGTGGATTCATACCCTTACCAAAGGTATTTGCACATAAGTCAATATAACGAACCTGACTGGAATTGAAACTCAGCTCTCTGATTAACAATTCTGAGCCACTATTCATTACATCACCTACACATCCAAGGTACTGACCATGCTCAACATTGCTTAACTTTGGTGATCATAAGGGAACCAGTATTTCAACATGATGTAGCTGTAAGCCTTCCATGTTTCTGTACTTGCTTGATTAAGATTTACTGTTTATTTGTATTTACAAATGATATATGATATATAATATTAATAAAAGAAATGACAGGAGACAAAACTTTTTTTTAATACATAATAGCTAAAGTAATTTTTTCCCACTAGGTTATATACAAGCTGAAATCTTTGCCAATTATGATTTGCTAGCCTTTAGAGGTTATAGCTGTGAAGAATTGGTGTCATAATATAAATTATATTGGCCATTTAACAATCCATTCATTCTATATTGTACACATCAAATCAACATTAACACTCGTAATAGATCCATTTTTCATTGATGGTAACTATTTTATCCCAAAAAGAGAAAGACAAACACTTAACCACTTGCAATGTTATATACAGACAAAACAAAAAAAACACTAGAGAAAATAACTCACACATAAAATTCTTTATTCAACTCAAGTCTTTGTCAGTTATGAGAACCTCAATCTATTTAATCTCTTTCGAGCTTATATCTTGAACATTTACAAATACAGATGAGCACTGGCCATTTCAACATTCCGTACCACATCCCAAACAAGTCTACCAATAGAAGACAATGATCCTGAAGCCAATGTACTGATGATGCGATTTATGCTGATGACATAGGTATTCATAGTTGGAATAAAAATGATCTTGAAAAGAAAATTCTCTACCATGTATTCCAAGAAATGGAACTCAAGATAAGCCTTTCCAAAACCAAAACTATGGTCTGGAATTGAAACGAAAGGAGTGATGGCACATGCACTGAATTGATAATAAAAATTCTGGATGCTAAAAATTTCAGATACCTCAGTGTCTGAATAAACTATAACAATTTAAATATAGAAGAAAAAGAAATTGAATTAAGAATAGACTGTGCCAGAAATAGTTTTGCCCAACACCACATATTGCTACAAAACCAAAAGATCAACCTGAAAATGTTTATGTTCTTAAATACCATCAACAAATCGAGACTTTCATATGGATGTCATGTATGGTGCCAAATCCATTCAGAATCATATGTATACAACTGCTTCTGAAGATCAATGGTGAAAAAAAAAATGGCTTTGAGTGAGTAAAACTTGAGAGTCTTGACAATGGTTATACTTCTTTGAACTTTGTGAATTGGTGCTAAAAAATCACAAAGAACTGTACCAAATAACAGAAACCTTTACCAACAGCAGTAACAATTAAAATGACTAGCACATCTAACCCAAAGAGAAAATACTGATATAAGTAATAAGTTAACATTCCACACTACTTCAAAAAAAGTTTAGGAAGGACCTCCCCCTAATCAATATTGGATAGAGTGATAACAGTTACTGAACTTGAGAAACCTGTTTCCCTTAAAAAATTCTTCAAAGAGAAAGATTTTATAAATTTCAGCCAAAAACAGTACTGGATGATTGGTCAATGAATACCAAATGCTTCCTTATAGGGAAAAGGCTAATATTACCATTACTAATATCATCATGTGGGTATGTGGTTTTAAGGGTTTTTTCTGAATGTTGATTCTTCTTCTCATTTGGGTAAAATTTATGAAATCATTCTGTTAAAACATTTTTCAGGAAAATAGACTTCTCAAGTTTACCAGCTGTTATAACACTTTTCTCTTTTGACAGGGATTTCCTTCCTTACCTTTGATTTGAAGTCATGTGGAACATCAACAACTTGAATATGTTATTATTTTCTCTTCAAGTTACATGTGATATCCATTTTAGCTGTTGTTGAAAGTCCTCAAATGATTTTGTTTCTGTTATTTGGTATAGTTCTTTGTGATTCTGTGGTGCCAATCCACAAGTTTTAAAGAAAGATGGTTCTTGCTTAGGCCTACAGGTTTCATTTGCTCAAAGCCATTTTTAATTATTTAGGCCAAAAACATGACGAGAGCTAATCGATATTCAATAAACAAATGTGAATTATGGGACTTTTTATCATCATTTCAGGACTTTATTTTTAATTAAACATTGATTATCGAAAAGAATTCTATAAACTTACTATCATCCCATGTATCTTAAAACATTCAGATGAAGAAGCCATTATTATAATTATGGATTATGTCATCATCACACAATGACTGTTATCAGGATCATTCAGTCTGAAATAATTCATTTAAATATATTTAAAAATAATAATTATATCATAGAATAAATTAAAAGATAATAAAAAAATTAAAATCAATAAGTTTTGTAATTTTCCATTCTATGATGTAATGACTGGGAGAAATGATATAAAACATTGATCTGACTATGAGAAATTGAATGACAAAACATAAAATACTCTCTGATTAATGTTTTTAGAATCAAGAAGTTAACATTCCACACCACTTCAAACAAAAGGTTAGGAAGAAAACCCCCATCAATACCAGAAAGAGTGATAAAAACTACTGAACATGAGAAACCTGTTTTCCTAAAAAAGTGTTTTAAGAGAAAGATTTTATAAATTTCAACTAAAAACTACTGGCTGCTTGGCCAGTGAATGCCAAATGTTTTCTTGTAGGGGAACGGCTATTATTACCATAATCCCTACATAAATATAATTCCATCAATAATTCCATTAATAAGAACATTATTTTAGTCTGATGAACTTTTGCATTAGATAGAATCCTTTTCTTTATTCAGTTACACTAAAAATGAATATAAATTGCTCTCATTTTTATATACTTAGCTTAATATTATCACAGCCAGCTATTGTTTTTCTAAAAGACCTTGTTTTTCAGTGATCATAAGACATGGTTTCTTCTGTACTCTTACATACTAAATAGAAATATTGACAGCATACGGCCACATCATATTGAAACACCTGTTCCCATACAATCACAGAAGTTAAGCCATGTCAAACCTGGTCAGTACCTAGATGAGTGACTGCTTTGAAATACCAGGTGCTGTAAGCTTAAGTGTGCATGTGGTGTAATGGATAACAACTCAGAATTGTTAATCGAAGAGCAAGTTCCAATTCTAGTCAGATTCATTATGTTCATTTCAGTGCAAATACCCTTGGGAAAGTATAAAACCACTTCTTCTCCCCCTAGTTATGGGTTAATTAGCAGGACTTGTATCACTAAACCATTATTATCTCAAAAAATATTCTTACAATTTCTTTTTCTGGCTTTAAATAACCTGCAAAGGTTGATAAACCTTAAAAACACATCACTCGAACTGAAAAAATGTCATCACAATTGAATTATTTCTTTTTGGGACATTTTTAAAATTATTTTTCTGCAACCTGATTATTTTGTTCCAGGAAAAAAAATTCCCCAATAAGTTGAGAAATCTCCATCAGCAGGGCTTTCCAGATGGTAATTATATTAGGTATAAAAGAATATCTGGTGGACTCAATTTAAAAGTTTTACCGAGAATTTCTTTTTTAAAATTTTTCTTTCAACTTGGAATAAAAAATAAATTGATTTCTGCATCATGTCACCTCCTCAGCTCTGAAAGAAAATACTAAAAATCAAATATTTTCTTATTAAAAGAAATCAATTATTATTAAGATTGGTCTGTCTTTTTTCCCCTTATTATTAGTCACTTAGAATTTCCATTTGTTAAAAAAAAATGTGCCAGACAGATCTAAAAAAAAAAAAAAAAAGCACCCCTCTTTGTTGGCAAGAAATCCACAAAGATAAGTCAGAGAAACCCAGATCATTTTGATTTCCTCCAGTTTGAGTTTTGGAAAAGGAACAAATTTTAAAAGAATTGATTTTCTTCTTGTCTTAGAAATTCTCCTTGTTTGATTTTGCTCTTAAGATCGACTGCTGTCAATATCACTTAAGTCATTTTTATCTCTACTGCGATTTTCTTTTGACTTATATACTTTTACTAAGTATGTGGGGATAACAGTTTTAATGTTATACTAAAACCACAGGATTAAAACTCATATGTAACTGTAGTGAATTAGTAAATAGAATTGTACCTATTCGAATATGTAGAAGAGATATAAAGTGTATAGTAAACTAAGAGACAGGCAATAAGTTGACTATTAATCACGTGTCATAAAACAACACAATACAACAATATGGGATTGCTGATAGGACATTTAAATTGCTTGGATGAACCAGAATTTGTTTTGCAGGTTATACTAGGGCTAAAAAATTGAAAGTCATCCAAAAATGTACCTCTAAAGAAGATTGACAGCAGGAGAAATAAATTATTCAAATATTGAAAAAGAGGCATTAGCCATTGTTTGGAGCACAGACAGCTCTTGACAATTCTTATTAGTTAAGATGTTCCTATTAAAGTTGGACCAGATTGTGGAGTAATTAAGACACCCCTGGTAGCACAAATGAACTATGCAAGATACCTTAAATAAGAAGTGAGTCAGTAGAAGTCCATTGGAGTCAGTTGGGAAGAATTCTAACAACGTCATGGCAAGTAGCCTAAGTGAGACATAATATTATAATCACTAAGAGTGAGTTATAACAGACCATAAACGTCTAGCATTTATTTTTAAGCCTAGAAAGGAGTTACTTCTTCCAGAATTCTAAGATAGGTCATAAAATTAATGGCTTATGATTTTGACATTGAGTACATAAAAGGAAATACAATGCCATATGTTGATGCGCTGTCAATGTTACAATTTAATAAGGATCAAAAACAAAAATTGAAATCCCGGATGAAAAAATATTACATTGGGTTGAAACTGACATTATCTTTACAAAGATTGTTCTTAAGATTGACAGCTGTTAACATCACTTAAGTCAATTTTATCTCTACTACCATTTACAGTGTGTAGTTTTACAGTTTCCTCCAAATGGAGATGTTTTAATTCTACTCTTGCATGGGTGCTTATATAACTACCTATCATCTGATTCATCCCATGTGTGCACAGCCTAAGTGCAGCTGGGTTGACCAGATATTGATATATCTGATGCAGCCTAGTTGACCAGATGCTTATACGTCAGGTGCAGCCACTAACAGCCTGTGAGGCATGGATCTGCCTCTAGAGGCTAAGATGGCATCTATCAGTTCAACCTGCTGATACACTTGTCTTCTTTGACACATCTGTCTTATGTTGATCGTGAGGTCTATTTCAGTATCATTTGATGTTAGAAACATATAGTAAATCATCAACTATCTGGACAGCCTTGGATAAGGATTGAAAAAAATCTGTTCAGATCAATCAAAATTTTGTATAAATGAATAGCTAAATTATTGAAAAAGAATGAAGAAAAAAGTAATTTTCTGAAAGGAATTTAACATTTAGACTACAATTCAAAAGTCTGAAGCCACTCACTAGAATTAGCATGAGATAAACTTGACAGAAGAGAGAAAAAAAATGAGAGAGTTCTTAGAGTCATTGAAAAAAAAGAATGAAATAATTATCAAATTTATATTTTTGCAATGAATGCCAAAAATTTGTACTGCATTAATCAAGGCTAAAGAAGGATATTTTGATGAGAGTAAAATTGAATCATAAAATGCTTTTTTTCTTTTTTTTATAATAAAATTTCTAATAAAAAAAATCATGTCTCACTTGAGAATGTTCACTATCTATGGTTTTCTAAAATCTCAAAACACTCTTCATTTTCACATCGAGATAATTGAGGACATAATGCACCCCATGGTTATTAGTACAGGAAATGGAATCCTCAAGTTGAGATCAAAGTCTGGCCTCATCTGTTGCATCATTGGGAAAGGCATGAATCCATTTCTTCTCTTTCCAGCTATGGAGTAAATAGTAAGGTAGTCTTGGGTCTTGAGCCTTGGATGGGCCAGTTTCAGATAAGGACTACACTGAGTTCAAAATTCCAGAGAATACACTAGAAAAGCACTCTACTATCTTTCCAAAGAATTCATGGCAGTTCAGAGATAAAGACTTTTGTGGAGAATCATGATTCACTATACTATGAAGGGACATGCTATGAAAAAAATACTAAGTTGCTTCCCCTGTTCAAATAAATGCACAAACAGTATTTTTCCAAAATGGTGTTTCTTGCTCTGCAATAACATGACTTCCTAAAGCTAACCAAGGTATTCAGAAAAAGAAGAAAATTCTTCAACAAAACTGCTACTTCATAAATCAATCTCCTGAGAGGATGCTTCACTGATCATTACAACCTCTTTATTTCTAGGTTTAACCATTACCATTTTTAATATATATATATACATATACATTTTAATACATATACCATTTTTACATAGCCTCATAAACTACACTTCTTAACTCCTCCACTTGGATGCAATAACCTGAATCAGTAACTCTCTACTTTGAGTGGCTCATGGGTCTTTTATTTGGTGAACAATTAGTAAAAAAATTAATGAGACACAAAGAGAATATTGTTGAATGGCTATATAATATCCATCCTTCTTTATAAAAGCAAATGTTGGATGAACAGAGTTGAGGCAACATATAGTACTACAGAAGGATGCTGAGAATGGCATGGACAGATCATGTGATCAACACAAATGTTTAAAAGAAAATGGATGCTTTTATTTAGAATCAGAAAGCGATAACTGAAATTTATAGAACACACAATGAGGAGATATGGTTTAAAGAATTTGTCACATACAGGATAAGTGAATGCAAGAGCAGCAAGTAAAAGGAGAGAAAAAGAAAAAACAACCACTGCTAAGAGATACAAAGGAGAGAAAATTGTGGAAAGCCATAATGACACACCCTGAAGGGACATGCCACACAGGAGAAGACTGTCATTCATTGATTTATGGACAGGAAATATTAGACTCTCTAGACATCTGTAACATGATTTAGAAGCTTGAGTTTGTACTCAGTGGAAGAATAAAAATGTCATTTTGACTACCCAAGCTATATTTGGTACATTTCTTAAGATATCTATTTAGCCAAAGATATTTTCTGATGGTCTTTTATCTGAAAATACAATTACTGTACAATATATATATATATATATATATATATATATATATAATTGCAACACATAAAAATTCAGTTTGGTCGTTATAAATGACGCCACCTTGACTCACTTGAAATTGATTCCAGCTATCGAGGGAATGCCAGAATCAGCTCAAACCAGTTACATAAACACACAAAATTACAAAATGCTTGAAAACGAATGTAGCAACATTTGAAAGTACTTGAGGAAGTGGGTGCAAAAAATAAAAATTAACTTTGGTAAATTTACTGATTCTATAAAAGAATTTGAAAATTTCTAAAAGGTAATAAAGTATTAGGTACCTCCTAAAATTTGTTAAAAAAATGAGCATCCATGGTGCCAAAAAAAAAAAATGCCCCAAATTTAATAAAAACAAAATTTTATTGTCAAAATCATTGTTATATTAAGAGTGAAGACCCAAAGATTTTTTGATTATTAAATTATATTTGAATGCCTTTTATAACCTTCAAAATTTTGGTTAAAAATATTTTTATGTTGTGTCAGTGGTTGACTATAAATTAGTAATGGAAATTTTAGTCATTTTGTTGTGAAAAACACATTTGGAAATTCTTGCAAAAATAACTGTCAGATTTTAATTAAACTTTAAGGACTTATTCACAAATGAATAAAATTATTTTAGAAATGTTTTTTTTTTGCTATTACCCTGCACCCACTTATTTAATTTTATTAAATTTTGAGAAATTCATTTTTGTAGGTCTTAATGCTTATATTAGTTATAAGCAGAAGTACTTGGAGAATTTAAATCATCAATTCTCTTTCATAAAACAAAATTTTCCATTAGTGAAAATCTGCTCCGAATTGTAAAAAAAAAAAATAAAAAAAAATAAAAGCAAAGAATTAAGAAACAGAAAAGTTTCATTAGAAACAAATAAAAGTGTACTGAACTGTTACATAATAATGGTCATTCTATATGATGGACAATCTCCTCAGAGATAAAGTATTGAAATTATTATGGAGTTGCTAACTGGGTGCCCTGTGATTGGATGAAAAACAACTAATCACAGGCTACCTTTTTAGACTTTC